AATAAAACACTGTACATAAATTCAAGAATGTCATGTAAATAGAAATTTCTCGAAGTACTAACCCTTTATCTTGGATGACATTGCTGCTAAGAGGACCAAGCAAAAAAACATTTTCATAACAAACCTTGTAAGGCAACTAAGGCTTAAAATTTACTAGGAAATGAGATAGATATTGGCATATATTAAGTGGAAGCATAGTAATTAATATTTTAAGAATTAGCTCTGATTTACCAACTATTTCTTTGCAAGTACCTATATTGCTGCTAAGAGGACCAAGCAAAAAACATTTTCATAACATTCTCTCCCTTTCTTAGTTTCAGCTTTTGATAAATAGCTTCAGATTTATTTCTTTAAATCTACAATCTTTGTCTACATTTATACAACCAGCTATAAAATGATTGAGCTAATTTGAGCATTATTCTGGATTTACTGTGTTTTAATGCCCAGTAACAGCAACTGAGTTAAGTCTAATCAACGGCAGTTACTGACTTCCACTTTAACTTTCAGATCTTATAATGAGAATTAGCCTTAAATCTCATCTAATTAAGACGTTACTTATGCGAAACTATGTGCACATACACCAGCAATGAATTCTGCCTAGATTTAACTGCTCATTTCTCACACACGTGACAGTAATATTAACATACTCTAAATTCATGCCTGGTGACATTCAGGAAAATCACTGCAACAACTTAGCCTTAGCACTGTTTACAGCAGTTACAGATGCTGTTAAGGAACTCAATATATTTATCAAAGAGCAAAGCAGCAGTTTCCAGATATACAAAGGAATACATTTTGACAAAAACATATTCTTGGGTACTGGAGCAAATTACCATTTTATAATAATAATGCTCATAATAATAGCTGGGTAACTAGTTAGTTACAGACAGATAGACAGACACATGCAGCATTTTTGTCACAGATGCCAGAGTGTCAGGCAAAGCAGCTCATCATTCTGCAAGTGGAAGTCAAAGACAACTAGAATGACTTCCATAAAGCCATTTAAGCATCAGCAGCAATGCCAGAAATAACTTCCTGACCCTATTAAGGTGTGTAGCTGGAAAGGAGCAACTTGTCAGTCCCTGACCTTGGTCTTTTATGAGTGTGGTTATATCCGAAACAGACTGGTAATCAGTTTGAAAATTGTGTTTGCTCATACTTTTGTCCAGACTGGAAAAAAAAATAGGAAACTATTTTTTTTTCCCCAGTAAGAAATAGGTTTTTTTCTAATTAGAAATCTGCTGGAATCAGATATGGATTAGCTGTGACCCCTTTTTTGGGAACCTATGGTCACAACTTTGTTGTACTTCAGTGATGCAATAGCTTGGATATGCCACCTTGCCACTGATCCACATTCTTAAAATCACAGCAAAATGCACTTATGCTTCAAGAGCATACTGCCATTAAAAGTGGAGTCCCACTTTCTTCCTCACTATTTCTATTCCCTTCCGCCTGCAAAAGCAGCCTCCCTGAAAAATAACTCAGGAGAACAAACAGGCTGCTTTTCAGACAAGCCCGTTCTCTGGGTTGGTTTACCACATTGTTGCATGAAATGTCTGTGCTGCAATAATGGAGGGAGTGCAAACGCATAGCTAGAACTACCTACAACTTTCTGCAGCAGACAGAACTTAGTCTCAAACGGACAGTGAAACCAGAGCTTTTAAAAGTCAGTCAGATTGGAAACAGTAGAAGTAGAGGTTCAGAGACACAAATGACAGCTCATTCCATGACCTCTTTGGTCTTGCATCCCCTGTCTACAGAGATGGGACTTACTTACATTTCTAGATATTCCAGTATTTTCTAGATTTTTCCAGAATGCCTGGGCTAACAGAAAAATCCTCATGAGCTCAACCTTATTAATTCTGTAGATTTCACTTAAATACATTTTACAAGATACCTTACAGTAACCGCACTTTACTGTTATATAAGTATATCTCAACTGCAAATTGCTTATTTTCGGAAAGACTTGGAGGAGCTAAGTTTTGTAGTGATATGGAAAAAGAACAAAGCCAAATGCAATGATTAAAAAAGCACATTTTTTAAAACTATCTATGAGAGACATTTCTTCTGAGTGTTCTGATGTGTGTTTCAGAAATCACACCACTGACTACCTCTATAGCCCTGTAGAAATCTGTAGCATAAACCTGGTCCTTAGAGTAAAGAACATTCTTGATATCTTTTGCAAGATCAGGTGTTCATCTTTTGAACAATGACTGTATTAAATCCACATTTTTATGGCACTGTGCACACTATTATAACAACAACATAATCCTCTTTAGGAAATCATCATGTTAGACTGTAGTACTAATAAAGAGAATAGCATTAACACATGCATGTGCACATAAAGTGTTCAGTAAAATTATGCTGATTTGACCCTGATTTGCTGATTTATGCTGATAAAATTATGCTGACATCTCTTACTCTGATAATCACTAAGAAAGCCTCATAAATGCCAAAGAAAACATGAAACTGCTGTATGTTAATGAAAGAATAGTTAGAGAGACTCTTAAACCATTCAGAAACATGTTGAACCACACCGTATAGAGTAGGAACTTACATATGAAGCCAAACTATCTGATGGTCCTTTATTTTATATTGCTAAGGCTGGGTGCAACACTTAAAAGATCATTATTTGTTTTGGGAGTATAAACACTCTATTATTAATGTAGCAGTACTCTATTATACAAGATAACTGCTTCCCATGCAAAATACAAAATAGTAACTGCCAGCAGGAACAGGCGCCACAATGGGACATTAAATATTTACTCAAATACTCTCGTTGTGTTCAGCCTCTTAACTCATGATCACATTTGGCCGGTTTAGTATACTATGCAAAGTTATTTCAAAAGATAACATGTCACTTGAAAATAGCCAGGAACACAGCATTACCACCACCTTACTGCTAGCCTCTGACGAAGACTACACCATCACTAAAAGGCTCATCATCCTTATTAGGGATTCTCCAGTCTTCCAGCTTCCTGCTACTTCAAATTCCTGTTGGCATTTATGTTGTTCACCCTTGCTGGCAATTCTTTCAATACCTAAATACTTTGCTCCCAATACAGGGGCAGCAGCATGAAGCCTATTCACTGTAACCAAAGCGCTTAGTGACCTGCAGCAGGATCACAGGGACACCACCAGTACGAGTGCTCTGTACAGAGTCCAGACAGGCAACGTGCCAGAGGACTATTTCATATCCTGCTAGCTATTGATAAACAGTAGGTGTCGGATGGTGACAGAAAGCAGAGAGTGTTAATGTAACGCACCGGAGAGCATTAGTCATGCTGGATGGCCACAACAAGTCCTCTCATATAATTAAAGATACAGGTAATAAATATTTTAGATTTTCTAGCTTCCCTTTTTCCTCCCAGCTTTCAGGAAACATAGGCCCAGTCACACTTCAAAAGTAACAGAGAGCGGTGTTAGACACCCGCATTAAGCATGTTGCTTCAACAGCAGGCAGAGTTAAACAAAGAGAAAATTTGCAAATCTTACTCCAAGAACTTCTGCTAACAGCACTATATGCTTCCCCATCACTGAAGTGTTCATCATCAGAATGTTTAAAGGCTGTACAACATATAAGTTGGTTTGAGAAAACGGAATACCGTATAAATTAATCTCTACAAGTAGAAAGACAATACTAGGTCTTGTGAATTTAAAGACAGCTAAATGGTAGTTCCCAGGAATGAAAAAAAAAGTGTGAACATAAGGCTACAGCAATTTAAAGGTCTTTTATCATCTTTATTACACAAGTAGTTGGATGCTTTTCAAAAGCAGAACACTCAGCATAAAGAAGCCTGAGAGAAATAACAGATCATGTTACAGCAAAGAGTAACTTCTTTTTGAATAGAAGCAAATTAAAACACTACTTTCTCTTTGCTTGCAGTTTTGTAAGCATTAAAAAAAGAAGTATCTGGAGTCCAAACACAGCACTTTCTCTATAGAATAACTAATTTATCCACCTAATTCCCATTTCAAACATCAACTTAAACACTTCAGGACTATGAAGGCAATTATTTGCCAGTGTAATTTAGAATGGTAAGTGACTCTGTATAAGAAAACAAACGAAGAAACCCTTGGTTCCTAAATCTCTATGGCTTTTAAAATTATAATGACTCTACAAATTATTCCTATGAGCAAATAATAACCATATTACAGTATCTTATATAATCCATATTACATCAACACAAACAACAGTTAAAAAGCTAGAAAATTTATACAAATGTAGCTATACATTATGAGATATCATTATTAAAATTTATTAAGAAATAAACTTAACTCATAAATATATAAACTTCTAGAAATGTATCTTCTTAGGCTATTCCCCTATTTCTTTGCAGTATGAAACTTATTTTCCCTCCAGAAGTTCACAGAAATTTTCTTGGAACTTAGCTAAGTGATGCAAGATATGCCTCCTATCTATACATAAATTGCAGTCTGGACACTAAAGTGCCAAAATTATTAGCATGCTGTTATTTTATGTCATGCTGTATCTGCCTTTTCCATGTGCCAAAAGATCCCCAAGGGAGCTATCTCCTCACCTGCCACCTTGTGCATCTTCTTACAAGAATGTCTCCAATTAAGCAGAACTCCTCAATATGCTTATCTGAGCAAGGTGGCACTGATCCAGAAGGTTTATGGCTCCAAAACCTATTTGTAGGAGGATCTAACCCAGTTATGGGACCATTTTACACTTGAATTTTTAAAGTAAAGTTGAGAAATGCTCACATTTGAGGATTTTGCTCTGCAAAGACACTAAGTTTGTACTTAAAAGGAGGATGGATCTAGGATTCCAGTTTGGGTCAATATTTGGCCTCATTATTCAAATCCCATAATGATCACATCACTTAAAAACAAAAGCTACTGCATACACATTGCATATGTATAGAACAATTTCAAAACTGCAAAATTAAAATGTGAAATGAGTTAAGCAGCTGTCTTGAGCCTATACTACAGGTGGCATAAGTGATATGGAATAGGAACATGGCAAAGTTACTCACCTTCCTCATCTGAAACATCCAGGACTTCGGTCATTGTTTCAGGTACATTTAGCTTGTGCTTTTCTGTTACAGTCTGCAAAGACAAAATCATCAAGCCTCAAAACAAACATCAAAGGAAGAAACAAAGTTTACAGCAGGGTACAGCTGTCAAAAATAACAGCATTGGGATCCGTTGAGACGGTATTATAACATGCTTCCCCTTCCCTCGATTTTACTTTTCATCTTTACTCCAGAAGCTCCTGTTCTCTGTGCTGCTATAAGGTTGCATTAACTCTGGCAGAACTGTACAAAAAGTAAATATAATGACCTGGTGGAGGGGGCTGTGTGAGGGAAGATAGAGAAAAGGAAAGAAAGCTCTCAGTGAATCTATTTATAAATGGTACACATAAAATAATTCAGTTCAGTGTTTCCAAGATGATTTTAAAATGAATTAGGTAATGTCTACAGAAGAGCTTCACAAAAGTGAAGTGTGGCATATGGAAATTATTAAATCGTAAAGCATTTGGAAACAGAGTTAGGAACAATTGGAAATTTTTAAACTAAAAAAAGATGTGAAATAGACCGATCACTTGAAACAGCTCTTCCACCAAAAAGTGACTATACACTGTGTATAAATGATATCCATTTCATAAATGTTTATTCCTCCAAATCATGTACACATTAGAAAAAAAATATTCAGAAATTCTGCGATTTTGTGTAGCTAAGAGCTCAAAAATACCAAAATACAAGGCAAGTATGGACCAAAGACAGCCAGGATTACATTGTTTAGGTGAGAGAGAGTAAGGTGTAGAAGTATGATGAAGAATCTTTAATTTCAGGAAAGAGAAGATGCTCTGAGACTCTAAATCAGGAAAATTCTCCTTGCATCAAGATACATAGAGGGGAAGTGATGAAAAAACATAGCAGAGGAAGTGTGAGAAGTGCAAGGCATGAGAAAGTTGCTTGCAGAAGACTCTTCGGTGTGTACCAAAGATAAAATGTCAAAGACTTTAAAAAGAGCAGTAATCAGAAACCACACTAGTCACAACAGAAAAAATAAGTGTTTCCCGGGCTCCACCCAGATTTGCAGCTAGTCAGCTGAACCAAAGAGCTCTGAAGGGGAGGCAACACATCACCCTGTAAGGTATGTAGCAGCAGATGCGTCCCTTCAGCATGAAGGCCACATGTCCCTTGAAAATCCTACTGCAGTGGCACTTTGCTCTCAAATGGGGATGGATCCATCAAGCATTAATGTTATATGTAGAAGCAGTGAAAGAACATACAATCCACGTGATAATTAATGTCAGACAACCCTGTGCCTCTTTCAGAATGTGCTCTTGGGAAAGGTGCCCAGTGATATGCAGTGAAGCCAATAGCAACTTTTGTTGTGCAAAGCTTACTAGGTATTTCCAAATTTGTATTGCGACATGTCTAACAAACTAACAAAGACAGTATTCTTGATTGCTATACAATACTGCATTTTTATGAAAAAGTTGCCAATAGTGCACCTCTTCTGGAAATTTGATTAAAAGTCTGCTTTGCATTTTTGAAATATATTGTGACAGCAGTTTTCAATTCACTTGCACAAAATAGAGGGAAAGGACAGTGTCATTTATTTCAAGATAAATGTCCCCATAATTACTATTTTTCCTAACATGTGCTCTGTATTGAAATATTACTTTGCATTCAGCAAGGTCTCCACAAATATATCCCACTTTCTGTCCCGCATTCCTGTGGCTCTCCTCACATAGAAATGTCATGCAGCACTAGGGCAATAAAGTCAGTGGTGACAGGTTAAAAGGTCAATATCACCTAAGCGATCGAGCGCTCATCTCTTCCACAATACAGCAGGAAGTACACATAAATCCTAAACCACAAAATCATTCACACTAAACTGAAGAAATAAACCCAGGCAGTATACTATTCATGGGTGGTGGAAAGTAATATATGCAATTTCTGATTTACTGATATTAACATTATAATAACACAAAGTGTAATCCAAATTCTCTACTGCCAGTTTGTATACTCCCTGGGTAAAATAACTTAAAGCCCAGAGGAAAAAACAAACAGCAACAAACAAAACAAACAAACAAGAAAAGAGTGGAAGGAAGTGTTCAAGTTCTAAAGAAAGGAGAAAGAAAGGAACAACTCAGGAGTCACAAATGCTAGGATGTTTCTTGCATGACTGAAATTTATAAGTCATAATTTAGTTCCTGATCCTAGTAATCCCTTTCATTAGAATAACACAGGACTGAAAAGATGTCAGAATACTATATCACAGGTATTGAGTGTCTTCACAAAAAGTATAGCTGTTACATTGCATATTGTCATTTTACTAACTTCGATGTGCAGACCTATTAGTTAGGGCTTCTTTATCCTGATGCCAATTTATCCATAATTTGTGTTAGTACAAGACCTGTATAATAACAATCTGGGGGTTGACTAATGCTCTCAATATTATTATTTATTTACAGAGAAGTATTGATAATTTCTTCCCTGATTTTCCCTTTAGTACAAAAAAATAATTACAAAACTTAATGTATAAAATAATTTGGAAAACGGAAATTGTGTGTGTGTTTTTTTCAGAA